TAAAAAATATATTATTATTGTTGGTATTGTTTTTCTATATTTTTATTTCATTTTTATTTTATTCTGTTTTATTTATTAATTATTTTTGACTTTGTGCTTTAATTATCATTGTCTATGTATATGTTTGCATTTCTGTAAATTAATTTATGCACAATAAAGAAAGTAGGAAATGAAAAGACATCCCCCCTGACTCCACCTACCTTGTGACGCATGTCTCGTCCCGTAATATGCTGAGTGTATGCCCTGAGTACAATCTGCCAGGAGACCTTTCCCCCGTGCCTGGACAGCAATACGACCTCCATTACATTGTCAGACCGCAACTCTAAGGATAAACCTGCTCTAAACTGTCTATTGATTTATATATAACCATTTAAAGTGTGAGACTTGCCGAAAGGGAGACTTCACGTTAGCCTACGTGGGAGTACTAGCATGCCTGACAAATTTAATTCAGGGCTGGAATATCCCGAAGTACCAGTACAGCCCCCGCAGCCGGGTAGCAAAACAGCCTGGCTGTTCTTTGACAGCTGCTCGGTCCTTGACGTCAGGGTGTTGTATGTCCGCTATGATACTCGGCGACGTGTCATCGACCATTTAACTGTATGACAGTCAGTTTACACTGCGAGTGAGACACGTCTTTTAAGACCAAGCTGACGTCTCGTCCGAGTTTGTTTTTTAAATTTAGCTACTAAGCTCGTGAGCTAACTAACTAGCATTGCTGACAGCTAGCTAGCAACTTGTTAGCCGGCTAGCAACAGGGATCCTCCCAGCACTGTGATGGCTAGCAAGCGATAGCGACACTTTCTCTTTCCAAATTTGGTAACTGCGTAAATATTTTCTCAATATTTATTTACATTATTTTAATTTAACAAGACGTGTGTTGTTAGCTCTGCTTGGGCTTTCTCTGTTTAGCCAGTGTTTCGTGGTGAGTGTGGTTTTTCTGTACAGGTTAAGGTCAGCAGTCATTGTTTATCGAGGCTCAGCTGTGTCTAGCTGCCTCTATTGTTTACATGGATACGGTCAGCTGAAGTGCACCGCGGGCATGTGCTCGTTACAATACTGGATCAGCTGCACAACAACCTCAGTGGACATGTGGAAATGGAGCTGGGAGGTAGCTAACATCTATCTACAGCCGACTCTACCGAAATGAGGATGACCGGGGCTTTGAAGGAGGACAGCTGTGCCTGCTGGACTGTTTGACTTTGTGTGGGCGTTGGACAAAGGACAGGAGTGTGTTTGCCCATATCAAAGCTTAACCGAAAGCTAGACGAGATGCGGAGAGTAGGAAATATACTGTGCCGGGAACTGGTCCACATCTCTGGCACTGGGATGCTTCTGAAGACCCTCCTGATCTCCAGTCTGCTTGGCTGGGCGACATGTCAAGAGAGCCAGAGCATGACACCTGAGGAGAAGACTGTTATTAGGTGAGGAATGTTTAGACTCACATATATAAGTTTGTTTGGACGTGCTTGTGCATGAGTGGCCCTGGAAGTCCATGCAATGAGGATGCATTTATATTTCCTCCTTTTTTTTTTGCAGGGACCAGATTATTGAAATGTTTGACCACGCTTATGGCAGTTACATGGTAAGGTCACTTTGATGCAATCGTTTTAATAATGGGAACACTTGTAGTAGAAGGAACAGCTTTATTATTAGACTAATGTGTCTTAGCATTTGCCCTTCATCACTGTAATCCAGTTAAGAAAAGCTCAGTGGCTGCTCCTCAGTGCAGTTGGATTTGATTTAGTGGGCTTGGGCAGAAAGCAAACAAACAGGATTTTGTTGCAGCTGCCTGGTACAACAGATGCCAGCAGAACACTACATGATTCATGGTGCCCTTAATATTGATTTAACTTTTGTCAGTAGTGATAGATGTCATCCAGGGGTGAGGAAGTAAGCAATGAGAGTGTACAGCCGGAGGTGTCAGGGTCATGGGTGGCCAGACTTATCCTGCGGCTCGGAGTTTTAAATGTAAAAATGCAGTGTCTGTTTAAGTATGTGGCTTTAGGCTGCTAGTTTCTTTCCCTCCTAGAGAATTTTCAACCCTTGAGCCGTCTTTCCTTAATGACACATTTTTCAGTTACTGTTGTTTGTGTTGCAGAAATACGCCTATCCAGCAGATGAGCTGATGCCTCTCAGCTGCAGGGGGAGAGTTCGCGGTCAGGAGCCAAATAGAGGGGACATAGATGACTCCTTGGGGAAGTAAGTTCAGTTTAATAACCTCAAAAAAACAAGCTCTGTATTTTTAATCCATCATTTTAAATCAAAGCTATAAACTCACAGTCAAAAGGCTTTTGTGTACATTTACTAGCTTGAAGTACTATGTCTGTCATAGAGCTGATTGTTAAAATGTGACTGCACGTTATCAAAACATATTTGCTTGAGTCTGTCCAGTGAACTATGTCTGTCTCCACACTGTCTTTTATCTGTTTTCAAGATTCACTCTTCACTGAGAATGTTAAAGAGATAGAGAGTGGAAGAAGAAAAACATGCCTGTGTTTTGTCTGCAATTTCTTACTTTTTTAATTGAAGGACATCTTAATATAAACTTTCCATCTAAAGTTATTTGGAGCTACTTTGTCTTTTCTTGTCACTGTCCATGGTGTACTATTAAATAAAACATTAAATTGAGCAATAAAATGCTTTCAACTTCATATTAAAATGTGCTTTGGATAACCAATAATAATATTTTTTTATTTTAAAATATTTTGTCATAAATAACTACATTTAAAAATATGTCTGGAATACATTTTTATTTTATTTTTCATTTTTTAAATTTTATTTGTTTTTATTTTATTTTATTTATTTAGAAATTTTTATTAACATTTTTAATTTTATTTTTTAAATACATTTTTTTATTATAAATATGAGAAAATATGGACTTAACACAAAATGTCATTTTTATGTAATGTCAGAATGTCTTGTCATAAAAGATATTTTGAATCTTTAAAGAAGAAGGGCTAATTTCTTTATATAATACAATTGTGTTTGTTTCAAACAGCTTTAATTCGACATGGAGAAGATGCCCTAGTTTTACAGGAATACATAAATTAGATGCTAATTCAAGTCAATTAAATGTACAAGAAGGCAATAAATCACAGACTTGCAGTACAATACATCCTTTTTTTCACTGCAAATTCAACATTTAACAGTGTGTGGCTCGTTGAAATGAAACTGGATCAGTGGGAAAGTGGGACACTGCTCCACTGTGTTGTGCCAGAGGCTTGCATCATCATAACATGTCTTCCACCTTTTCTGTAGGTTTTCTCTCACACTGATCGACACCCTTGATACCCTGGTGGTGAGTGTGTTCTCTGTTTACAAGTGTACAAGCAGTTTTTGTTTATGTCTTTTTTTTCTCACCATGTTTTTGTTTTCAGGCTTTTTTCCTCTTCTTTAGATTTATTTGTTCCTGTCTGTGTGTGAGCAGGTGTTAAACAAGCTTGATGAGTTTGAGGACGCAGTGAGGAAGGCTGTGACAGATGTGCGCCTGGACAACGATGTGGTGGTGTCTGTGTTTGAGACCAACATCAGAGTGTTAGGGTATGAAACATGCCTCTCATTTATTCACGTTTGTACTCTGTAAATATACTTTTATGCTCTTTTTAATTGATTAGTCTTAATAATTACATCTGGCTGAAGCGGATAATTCCTCTGAATGTAAAATTACTCCACATCAGCACAGACTATTATTATTACTAGACAAAAAGGCCATGCTGTATTAAATATCTCAACCTGTCCAGCCCAACCTTTCTGTTTAATTCATCTTTTTTTTCTTCCTTTATTTAATTCTCCCCAGAGGGCTTCTGGGAGCCCACGTGATGGCCGACCTGCTACGGCAGCGTGGGGAGAGGATGCAGTGGTATCGTGATGAGCTCCTACACATGGCCAAAGAGCTGGGCCATCGATTACTGCCTGCCTTTAACACCACAAGTGGCCTTCCCTACCCTAAGGTTTCCCTTATTTTATTGTTAAATATCACAGGTGTTATTTTAGATGTATCTGCATTTGACTAACTGCATTGATAGCAAAAAGTTCCTCACAGTCAGTGCACCACAGAGGAACTAATGAACAACATATTACTTACTTTAGTTCAGTATAGTGCACCCTGACCAGCTCAAACCATTTTGGAAGAAACCCGCAGTGAACAAATGTAAACCCATGAAAAAAATTTCCAGAAATGATTCGAGCTGAGTTTATTTTAAGAACCTAAAGTAGACAAAAATGTTCTACAACAAGTGACAAGATTAATGTATCATTTTTTGGTTTTCCAGGTGAATCTGCGGTACGGAGTCCTCAACCCACTTTCACGCACAGGCACTGAATCGGACACTTGCACAGCATGTGCTGGAACAATGATCCTGGAGTTTGCAGCCCTCAGCAGACTGTCAGGAGAGTCTGTGTTTGAGGTATTACTTCCCTCTACCTCTCAAGAGATAAGACTCTTTATGATTGTTTTGTTTTGCTCTTATTGTGAAATGACTGAGATATAATAGAGTGCACTTGTTTTCTTAGAAATTATAGCTGGCTATAACTGATGCCAGTTCAGGATGAAATCATACTGTATATGAATGACTTAACTGTTTTTTACCAGAAGCATTTTAATGATGTGATGCTCATTGTTTTACAGGAACATGCAAGGAAGGCGCTGGATGTCCTCTGGCAGAGAAGACAGAGGGGAAGTGACTTGGTGGGGACTGTCATCAATATCCATAATGAAGAATGGGTCCGGAGGGGTGAGGCAAAACTTTCATACTGACAAGAGATTGAATGTGAACCACACCTTCATTAATATAGGCCTATATTTTATCTACAAGTGCACGTCACACACTGAGCGAGCCGCCTGTTAATGACGCTGTCGGCAAAGCAGTAATGATTGTGCTAATGGGTATGTAGCTACTTACATGTTTCAGATGATACGTCATGTTTGTAGTCGACCAATGAAGATGAGTTTACATATCACCTTGAGTTCATCCTTCACCTTCTCAAAATGATCCCACACTTTGGATTTCCTTCCCAACGTGTTATTATTAATCACCAAATCATATTTAAAATGCAGCTGAAATGTGTGGCACTTTGTACTGTGCATTATGTACATTCCACATTTTATTACAGAACATAAAAACCCCCTTAATAAAAGTTAACAAATAAATAAACAATTTCCCATGTTCTAAACTAATGACATCCAGCTGGTGTGAGTGTGTGTGAAGGCAGCTGTAGACTTGTACCAGTAATGCTCATGCGAGTCTGAGAGCACACTTGTGTTTGTATGTGTTTAAAAAAGAAAGAAGGAGAGCTGATGACAATCAGAGCTGCTGGACAGTCTTGTATGTTGAAACTCTCCCCTTTTTCCTCTGGATATTTTAATAATTAATTTAACTGACTAGTATTTCTGGTGCCAACTGTAATCGACTAATTACACACATTCCCACTTAATACATGAACCATTTATAGTAATCCTCTCTCTTGTGTTTGCAGACAGTGGAGTTGGTGCTGGTATCGACTCATACTATGAATATTTGATGAAGGCCTACATTCTTCTGGGCGACAATGTTTTTCTGGAGAGGTTCAACATTGTAAGTCCTCTATCACTGCACGCCCACATAGAAATCTATATCCAAGCGTTTGGCGCCTGCTGTATTGTGCTCCCTCTTGCAACATAATTGGCTCTCCACTGGCCATTTAGCTCGTACCGTTATTGTGTGTTGAAGACATTTCTCATTGTTTGCTAATTTATGTTCCATGATGTTTGTTTGTAACAGCACTACAGTGCCATTATGAAGTACATCAGTCAGCCTCCCCTGCTGCTCAACGTACACATGCACAACCCCACTGTGAGCGTGCGTAGCTGGATGGATTCACTCTTGGCATTTTTCCCCGGCTTACAGGTCAGGGATCCTCCATTAATCACATTTACTACCATTAACACACAGTAGATGGAGTAGAAAAGGTTGCACCCGTGTCTCTGGAGTGACATTTATTTTTCCCACGCAGGTTTTGAGAGGAGATTTGAAACCAGCTATTGAGACTCATGAAATGCTTTACCAAGTCACCAAACAGCACAAGTTCCTTCCAGAGGTAAAGACTCTGTTCTCTTTGTTTATTTAATGACATATAGTAGGCAAATACAGGCAGATTAAGTTGGTTTAACACTTAATAGGGGTGGGTAATACGGATAAAATCTTCTGTCACATATCACAGTTATAAAAACAGTCTGTGTCCACTTCAAAAAGTACTGCATCACGATGATGTAAAAACCTTGAAATTTTAATATAATCATTAAGTGGTCCATCTCATTACAGCTCTGCCTGTAGTAATCTAACAGAGCCAGAAGTGCTGAAGGGATAATTACCTCTGTATGAATAGTATAGCACTGTCTCCACCTCTGAATATATCTTGTCACATCACCCAACCCTTATACTTGGCTAATTTGAAGTTACAATAAGACATATTCATATTAAAGTTGACAGGTTAAGTATCAGCTGTTGCTGTATCAGTTTGATATTTTTGATCCTGTGCTATGATTTATTATTGTGGGAAAAAGTCATGACCTTACTCTGAATGAAATGTTACACTGAATGGAAATCTCTTGTAGCTACTCTTCTTTCACCCATTCATTAGTAAATCTGTTCATAATATACAGAGTAGTCTTAGAAGAAGCCAGTGTCACTGACATCTTTTGCTTTCTGCAGGCTTTCACTACAGAGTTCAGAGTTCACTGGGGCCAACACCTCCTGAGACCAGAGTTTGCAGAAAGCACCTACTACCTCTATAAGGTGATTAAAAACTGGCAGGACAGTGTCCTAGACAAACTACAGTAACCTTTCTCTGTTATAAGAAGGCTAATTAATGAAACTACTCCACTCGTGTACTGTATGCACAATTATTTTTATAGCAAACTGAATGTTCCATGTTAGATGTGTGATCGAGACTACATGATTATCCCTGCAGGCCACTGGCGACCCCTACTACCTCAGAGTGGGACAGTCCATCGTGGAAAAGCTCAATGCCTACGCCAGGGTGCCTTGCGGGTTTGCTGCTGTGCAAGATGTCCGCACTGGGACACATGAAGACAGGTACACAGATGCCGTTACAAACTTGTTTACAATGATATGTTTCATATGGAAGTGTGACATTAGAAGGTTTTTTCTGGTTAAACCTTCCTGTTGGTAAAATAACTGTCGTAATGGAACAAAATATCTCTCTATTTCTGTGTGTGTGTAGGATGGACTCATTCTTTCTGGCTGAGATGTTTAAATACCTGTACCTGCTGTTTTCGGAGAAGAGCCAGCTGCCCATCGATGTTGACGACTACATCTTCACCACGGAGGCTCACCTTCTCCCTGTGTCTCTCTCCACCACCCAGCCGCCCTGTCAAAGCAACAATACGGTGAGAGCTCTCACACACATTTTTTGAGTCTCACATTGAAACAAGCTGATATTATGCTGATATGAAATGATTACTAGACAGTGTAGCTGATGACACCACTGTAATCTGTAATTATTATTGCTGTTATTAATTTATAGTGTATATTACTGTGTAAGAATGGGACATAATGACATTCTGTGTGTGTAAAATGCTGACTTACTCTTTAAAGGGGATCTAATGTGCTCATTTTCAGGTTCATACTTGTATTTTGGGTTTCTACTAGAACATGTTTACATGCGTTAAAGGTCCAGTGTGTAGGATTAAGTGGCATCTAGCTGTGAGGTTGCAGAGCTAAAACTTCTCCCGTGTGCCACGTGTGTAGGATAACCACGGTGGCTGACGCGAAAACATGAATGGCCCCATCTAGAGCCAGTGTTTGATTTGTATGTTCTTGGCTACTGTAGAACAATATGGTGGACTCAGTAGGAGCAGGCCCGCTCTGCATGTAGATATAAACAGCTCATTCTAAGGTCATGAAAACACAGGAATTCTTAGTTTCATGCGATTATAAACTAATGAAAACGTAGTTAGAAATATTATATACAATTTCTGCCAATAGATGCCCCTAAATCCTACACACTGGACCTTTAATGTTCAAAAAACACTTCTTAAAATTCATACTGTCTGTGCTGGAACATCTGCACCCTTTGTCTTAAACGCTCCGTTTTAGTGCCTGTGTCTTTAAGCCCCCCTTTAGAAAAAGCTCAGGCTGCTCTGACTGGTCAGCATTTCTGGGTCTTCCATATCTTGGTGTCTCTGCATCGTCTTTGCAGCCCAAGGATGGATTGTAATGGAGTATATCAGCATTTTTTTACCTTGAAAAATCTGAAATAAAAGCTTCTAAACACAACCATACGTGTTACAGCAAGAATATAATCGAAAATCCAGGAGACATTAAGAAAACTGGCAACCAAGATTACATGTGTCTTGACGTTACATGCAGCTGCATGTATTGGTGGAGGCCACATAATGTAAACACTTGCAGTGGTATGCCGAGAGCAGATGACCATATAAAGATGTGTCAGCTCTCTGAAGCCTGAGGTTTTTGCTCACAGGGATTACTTTTATGTATGTTTACCTACTCATGAGAAACTTTGGCCAGGTCTAATATGAGCATCTGACATTGTAACATTATATATATGGCAGAAGATAAGGAAAAGCACAATAGGTCCTCCATGTATAGGAGCTAAAATGTGTTATTAACTGTTAACTGTTGGTTCTGTGCTTTAGGAGACTGTTCCTGTATCTCACGAGGAAGATCTGTTCACACACTCCTGCCCCAGCATGGAGACCTTGTTCCCCAACAATCCCTCATTTGCCAAAACCATTCGGGACAGCTACAAGTACCTCACTGGGGTGGGACGAGCCCTCCACCCCTTACCTGTCAGGTGTGTCTAGGGCTTTTGATTTTAGAGTGAAATCACTGATGAAACCCGTTTCTTATGATTACTTTGTGTTTTAACTTGGGTGTTTTTGTACTTCACAGGGAAATTGAACTGCCGCTCCATGATAGTGGGATGGAGCCAGTAGAGTTCTTGAAAAGCATGGGCATTTCTCTCACTCCACTGAATGAGGTCATGGCAGGAGACTTGGGAAGTCGGAAGGTATTGTAGTCACTTGTACTCAACACGTCATGAAGTCAAAGTAACCAGAAAGCGAACTGTAGGTGGTAGAACAATGGAAAAATAATGTTCTCCAGCTGGTGTTAATGGCACAATTTTCAGCTTTGAGCTATGAGTTAAAGAGTTTTAGTTAATGATTTACGACCTCATTTTGTCCATTTGGCTCCACAAATGCACTCAAACACCGTGTTAAACCATGATGTTTTTTTGTTGCTGTGAGCATGCTTTAATGGAGCAGTCAGAGCAGGTTAATTATATAACGTGCTGTTGTGCCAATTATATCTTTCAAATTGTGCAAATAACAGGGTGTCGAGCAGCATGGATTTAGAAAATTATAAGCCGCTTTAATCAAATGACAGAGTGTTTTTTAAACAGATTTATTTTTCATTTTATCAGTTATGCTACACTTAATTCTGTGTTAACTTAGGCAGTAAATATGCCCCCTCCAGTGTCCTGATGTTTCCAACAGTGAGGGAGAAAAGGAAATCACTCAGTCGCGTAAAATGGATTGCAAATGTCATTTTGCTTTTTAAACTGTTTACAAGCATTGGGTTTAGAGCAGCGTTAATTGAGTGAAAAGTGGGTCAAAGTAATGAATATATGGCTCTAAATGTAAAACAAATGCCTGGAATGTAGGTTACTATAACAATGTCCACAAATTCCCTGTTAACCATGACAAAAGTTGAACTGATGATAGCATAATATTGTCATATAACTTCCCTCTTTTAATTTAAACATGACTCACACATGAATTCAAATCACAGATGAATATCTTAATAGTTTTCTGAATATAAACCCTTTATAGGAGCATAAAGGAGTGTACCGGGTAAAGCTTGTGGCAGAGGTGAGCCACACGGAGGAGGAGGAGGTGGTGCCGCATGTTGTTCAGCTCATATCACCCCCGTTTCTGGGTAGGACAGTCCTCACAGCAGGACCTGCCAAGTTCGGGATGGACCTTACGAAGCAGGAGCATGGGGTGAGCTTCCAACGACTCGTGTAGCTTTTAGAAGAAACAAGTGTTCAATGATAATAACATGACCAAAAATTTTAAATATTATGAAATCACTGACTTTTCAGAGAAGTGATTATAAAAGATGGATCTTCACAAATGGGGGCCAAAACATTTACGATTTAAGGGTGCAAGGGTACACAAAAGTCAGGGTTTGGTTCATGCCCTGGTGTAGGAGTCATAGTTTGGTGTGAGTTTGGTACAGCAAAAAAAAAAACAAATGCATTATGATACGTTTCTTTTTATTTATTTTGAATAGACCGTAGTGCCAGAGACAAATAAAATCCTCCTGCTGGGGACGGAGGTAACATTTTGCTCACTGGCAACTTTGGTAAAATATTTTCATTTTAAAAATAAGGAACATTTTAAACACTTCAGTATCACACTGTGTGAACACTGAACAAACACTTTCCCAAAAGTCAACAGGTCACAGCAGGGTATAAAAATGAAAAAGCATCTCTTATGTTATGAAACTGATAATTTCAAAATACGTAGAATTAAAGTTGTGCACAAGGAGGCAGGTTTAATTTGCCATCCTGGTGATCGGCACATCTGGGTGATGCTGCCAAATATGAGATAGCACATTAGATGTGTTTGAATTCACTTTGTTGTTTCCTACAACAGCGACACACCCTGCTTGTCTTATACACAACTCCTTCTCAGTTGCTGTTGTAGCTGACCAGGAAGGAAAGTTTTTTTTCTATCTTGGGTGGTGAAGTCATGCAACTACTGTGCCTTACCATGCTTCTGATTGTTTTACCATGACATTGTAACCCTAACCAATCTTGCTCCTCTTGCCTAAATCTAAACCAACCAACGAAGGCAACAAGCACTTGCTAGTCAGATGGAGAGTAGGGCAGGTGATGCCTTCACAATCCTAGGAAAAAAATTGGAAACTGGGAGCCTGCAAGCTGGTCTTCCAGCTCCGGCATTTCATTTAATTTGCTTGTTGGTCTAACCTTGTTATAAGTTGCTAATGGCATACACCTAAAAGTTTATGGGCCGAACTCACTCTTGTGAACTTTTGTTCCATATTACATGCATCAGTCTACATGCCATGTGTTCTTTGGGCTTCATGCACCAGACCGTGGCTCGCTGTACTGTGAGGGTTCAGTACAAATACATAAACCCTCACAGCCCTATAAAATTTCATCATAGATATTTACTGAACTGTGTAAGTTTTACCTGTCTTCTTTTTATCTCAGCACAATAACTTACAATAACACTCTTACTCCTGTGCCACAGGTTAAGGGCAGCATCGTGAAAGCCTCTCCCTACACTGCATGCGGACCAATAGATAACACAGTGGAGCTTAAAGGGCATATTGCTCTGGCACTGCGTGGTGACTGCATGTTCGCTGTTAAGGCTCGTCGGCTGCAGGAGGCAGGAGCCATAGGAGTCATCTTTATAGGTGAGGATGATTATCAGGGATGTTGAAACTACATTTTTTCCTATAGTCCATCTCAAAGCTCAGACAGCAAAGATTAGAATAACTAAATATAAGAAGGCTGGACCTAAAGAAATTAAATCTTTTCAAATACTCCATTACTCTCTTTCTCAGACCACCGAGAGGGAAGCAATAGTGAGGAAACTCCCCTCTTCCAGATGGTTGGAGATGGCGACTCCACTGAAGACATCACCCTGCCGTTGGTGTTCGTGTTCAACCGCGAGGGTGCTGTGCTCACAGCAGCTCTGGAGGAACAACACAATGTGGATGTGCTGCTGCTGCCCAAAGAGAGGCAGCTTGGACATGGTGAGGAGCAGAAGGAGGAAGATTAAATGATAAGGCTGGCGATATTCTATATTTTTGTTATTGTTAGCAAAACCCATAAACTGAACACCAAAACCAGCAAAACGTTCAGTTCAGTTAGGTGCGCTTTTTTTCCGTTTTCACTGTGAAAAGTTGTGGATGGTACCGATGGAACTGTTCCGTATCTTCCCCATTTTTGGTCCCCCCTCTGTTGGGGTACCTAGCACACAGATCTGGTACTAAAAGGTGGAGCTGTGAACACTGCAGTCTGTTGATTGGTCAATAGCGGACAGTCACTCTGCTCAGGGCTGAGTTGTGGCTGGTTTTGAGGCTCATGTAACCACTGTTCACACGAGTTTTATTAGTAGACTGTAACTATAAAATGAAAGTATGTTTTGCTGCCTCTAGCAGCAGCTGGAGTCTAGGTCCCCTTTAACTTACAACCTGTATGGATTATACAGAAGGACAACTGCAAATACGGCTAACAAAATTATTTCAAATGTCAAATCTTAGTTACTCTCTCTGTTCTTGTTCTAATTTCGTATATCGTTGGTTCTCCTCCTCGTTGTCCAGATAAGACAGACAAACCCCTCGGCATGAACATCAAACTCCGCCTGGCAGAGGAGGGGGAGCTGGAGGAGGGAGCATCCAGAGGGCCCACCTTGGAGTTTGTGTTGGAGAAACAGGAGGTGCTTCTTAAGGAGGAGGAGGACGAAGAGCTCAGAGGACGACAACAGCCGCAGCGGTTCTGCACAGTGGCAGCAGAGACAGACAGAACTGAACCGTGTTCAGCTGATACCTCTCAAACCACAAACTCTGACAGTAGACCAGATGCAAACCCCTGACCACTGCTGATCCCAAAGCTGCCAAGTTTCCTAACACTGATCTCTTGTCAGTTTCTGAATGGCGTGTGCCTCAGAGCCCCTCACTGCCCTACATGGAGCCCTAACTGACCCAGCCTGCATGTTTACAGCCGATGGAGGAGCGCAAAGCAGTGTGATGGCCCCTTTGCATCCTGTCTTGACTATGAAACCTAAAGATGGTCCTACGTTTATTAGACAGAGAGTCAAAGTGGGGCTGCAGGTCTCTCTGAAACGAGGGATGTCATGAGACTAAAACAGGTAGCTGAAGGACAAAGACTGTAGGTTCAGATGGCTGGGCTGTTACTGCCCACACCGAGCCTGTAGTGTTGCTATTGTAGGCACATACACGGTGTTGATAATGACGTAGATCATCAACTAGAATTTAAAATTACCTCACCTCGGAGGAAAACATAGACAAAGCAAAATGTACTCAGCTAGGTTTTTATGCAATGCAGTTTGTTTTTAATGTAGAGTGCACCTTTTCACTTCAATAACTACTGTTAAATATTCAGTGAGAGCAGATGGAATATTACCCGGCCAGTAGGTGGCGTTAGCTGCCATAACTTCTCAGTAACATAGTGGATGAAGGAGATGAGCTGGGGCCAATTTGGAAAGTTGATTTTTATTTTGTACCAGTAAGCAACTTCAGGGAATTTCAAGAGTCAATGCAGTTTGCTAGGTTGACCCATTTGAGGAAATGTTTGTGTGTGTGTTGTGCATTTCCTTTTTGCTATAGTGTATGTGTGAGTGTGTGTAATAATACCCAAGAAAGTGTCTCAGCTAGATCATCAGTGCTGTCAGATGACCCCCCCTGTCGTTACAAAGACGTTATGCGAGGGTTTAAGAGTAAAAACTCTGTCGGATTGACCACCGTGAATCATTTTTCTGGCTGAATGCTACTTTTTCCCCGGCCCATTAACACCTGTCTAGTCACTATTAGATTGTAACCATGTCATTTTAAAAACATCGCCAGAAAATTACCAAAGCTGGTTTTCTTGCAAGCGAAGTCTACATGTACGTAACTCTGGTTTACTTCCAGATGCAGCATCACAGGTTGGTCTGCAGTCCCAGACTGCAATGCACTTCGAAACACGGGTATGATCATCTGTGGCAGATTCATTTCTTTTTGTTTGTTGCAATAATTGCAGTCATATATGCTCCTATTTACATTACATTGTGCCATGATGCAATGGTCATAGCCGCCTTAAAATGTAAGTAGAATGTCACAGGTTAAATTTAAATTTAAGTTTTGCATTATCTGAAATGGTAACAGTCAAACTAGAAAGGCTCATTAAATCCTGTACGTCTCTTACACTCTCTTAACAATATTCCGGGCATTTTTATGTGCAATTATTTTATGCAACACTTCATAAAGATGCACAACTCTTTAATCAGTTTGTTCATATTCACTTTATTCTCACTAATTATTTGTTGCATGATTTTTGTCTTGTGTGGTACATTAAATGTGAGCCTATGTTTGAGTGGGGTAAACACTTCTCATGCCAGAGTATGTTGTGGTTTATGTTTGTACAGTGGACCTGTTCCTGATGCTGCTGAGTTCATTTGAAGTTTTAATCCAACATGACACTCTTTATTTTTTTGGTTGTTGTTGAGCCTGTATGAGGCTCTGCCAACCCGTATACCTCAGGACTGTTTACGTCTCCGCTCACGCACAGAAGAAGACCGTGAACAAGAAGTAGGGGATTCTTTTTTTTTTTTTCTTCATGCTATTTAATTTTCTGCAGTTCTCTAAGGTATTTGTTGATCAGTGGATGAAAGACAAAAAGTGCCATAAGAGATGCATGACATGGCTCCTGTTTCTGTTTCACATCCTGTCTGTATTTAGTTTCTGACTGTAAGCTGAGGCAATCCCGTTAATAAATTTGAAATCACCATTATTAAACCTTTTTCATCTTTTCTTTCCTGCATTATAGATTTACTTTACATCAGTTTTCAGCAGCTGTGAAATACACATCAGCTCAGGAAAAAAGACACAAATGACTACAAAGAGACACAAAATATTTTAAAAAAGACACAAATTTACCTCAAAAAGACACAAAATTCCTGAAAAAGACATTTAAAAAGACACAAATGACTTCAAAGAGATAGAAAACAATCAAAGACAGAATTACCTCAAAAAGACACAGAATGGCTGCAAAGAGACAAAATGTCTAGAAAAACAAAATTAATTCAAAAAGACAGAATTACTTTATAAAGACACAAAATTACCTTAAAAAACACAAAATTACTTCAAAGAGACACAAAAGGACTACAAAGAGGCACAAAATATTTTAAAAAAGACACAAATTTACCTCAAAAAGACACAAAATTCCTGAAAAAGACATTTAAAAAGACACAAATGACTACAAAGGGCTATAAAACAATCAAAAAAAGAGAATTACCTCAAAAAGAGACAGAATGGCTGCAAAGAGACAAAATGTCTTACCTTAAAAAACACAAAATTACTTCAAACAGACACAGAATTACTTTATAAAGACACAAAATTACCTTAAAAAACACAAAATTACTTCAAAGAGACACAAAAGGACTACAAAGAGGCACAAAGTTTCCAAAAAAACACACATGACCAAAAGACACAAAATCACATTAAAAAAACACAAAATTACCTCAGAAAGACACAAAATGACTGAAAAAAGCACAAAATTATTTCAAAAAGACACAAAATTACTACAAAGAGGCACAGTTACCAAAAAAGACACATGACCAAAACAAGGCAAAATTACCTCAAAATGACACAAAATTACTTCAGAGACACAATAGGACTACAAAGAGGCACAGTTTCCAAAAAAAGACATGACCAAAAAGACACACAATTTCTTTAAATAGACACAAAATTACTTAGAAGACACAAAATTACTTCAAAGAGACACAAAACAACTACAAAGAGGCACAAAATTTCCAAAAAGACACAAAATTACCTCAAAAGACACAGAATTGCCTAAAAAACAAAACAAAATGACTTTAAAAAGACACAAAATGACTACAAAGAGACACAAATAACCAAAATTCTCTGTAATTTGAGAATTATGAAGGATGAGCAACAACAATATAATTTCTTTACATATGCCTCCTCTACACATGACATTAAGCTAATTAAGCAACACTGTTTCTTTCCTGTGGAGTTTTCAGAGAGGAAACATGAGGGTTAATCGTGTCCAAAACGCAGGAAATAAACCTCTCCTGTCATAGAGCTACCAAGTTGTGTTTTGGTAAATACATTTAGCTATTCTTTTTTTTGTCTTTTGTTGTTTTCCTGTCAGAGGAAGATGAGGCAGACGACTGAGACCTTCTGTGTCAGGTGGGAACAGCTACCTCGGAATAGCACAAAAAATGGTGACGTTCAAGGTGACATCATTGATAATGACAGAGGTGATGCTGACAAGAGGAAATGATTCACAGACCTGAGTTTCTTTTTAGTTATACAGGTCATACAGTTCTGACTGTATACAATTCCTGGTATTCATGTAATATTCATCTTAACTACCTTCAGATTCAGTGATAGATGTTTCCCACATAATAAATGAGTCAGGTTATTTTTTACAGACATTTATGGTGCTAGTATTCAGGGTTGAAACATATGATAACTGACAGACACAGCTGAGGTCAAGTGATGGTGACCACTTCTGCCTATGTAACTGAAGTTTGGCCTTATTTGGTTTGCTCTTTCAGCTCTGAGCAAACAAACAAACCCGGTTTTTCACCAGCTGCCACTCACTGTTTGGCCTGTGTGTAGAAAAGAATAATGGCTTGTGGAGATAATGGGCAGAATGGACAACAATAGAAGAAGAGATGTTTGTTTATTTGATTTGTACTCAATACCTACATCTTTTAATATTTGATGTGGTGTCATTTTACTGCACCTGCTATATTCTGTTAAATGGGTACACATACACCAGTTACTCATCAACTTTCTCCCTCAGCCACCATCTTCATCAGGCTGTTATTAACCAATCTGTGTTGTGTAATGATTCATTAACTGATACAAATAAACGAGTGATTGATTGACGACGTGTAAACACAGCAGCATTAAAATAAGATTATCCATTTTTTTTTATCAGCATATGTCAAGCAGTGTGTAAACTATAAAACCTAATGCACCTAATGTCATTTAACACCGGCTTTACCACGTCATCACGTCATACGTCTGTGCCCTGTTTGTGTCTCCTGCTGCCTTCAGGTGCTGTGGGAAACGGGCAAGAATTTGGAGAAGCATGTGGTAAAGGTTGTGGTAAAGGCAATAAAATAAAATAAAATAAAATAAAAATAAGAATTATAAAAGAAAAAAAATTAAATTTAAAAGTCGGAATTTACATTGATGTTTTAGTTTTCATGATTGATTGAAAACTGTCTGTAGGTTACATCAAAAACTGATTGTCAGAATTAATATTCACCTGTAATTATATTTTTTTTAGTTATGGCACTTTTTGCTGGCGTGAATTTTACATAGTTTTAACATTTAATTGCCATGTTTGCCTTCAGTGGAAAATTAAAAAGACAGCCTATTAACCTTAGATTGAATCTGGTATAACATATTCTGGTTGATATCTTGGCTAATATTTGCTTCCTGGAGGTAAAGGCTTGAACACAGTTGTTTACCAAAAAATAAATAAAATAGAAATACTACAACAACTACTAATAATAATAATAAAAACTCAAGGTCCACTCACAAGCTTTTTCTGGGGCTTTTAACCACATGTCACTGTCTGTCTTAGCAGAGGGAGATTGGAAACATAGACAATTGTAGGCCAGCAGCCTGCAATGTAAGAAAAGGAAAAAAAAGGACCAAATAAAGACTAAATAATAAAAACAATAATTTTATTTATGTAGAACTTTTCAAGCTTTCAAGTGCTTTCCAAATTAAAATATTTCCAGAATAGATACTAAAAATCAGAAACCCATGTAAGCTGCCCCTTACACTCTCAATGTAGGATGCACCTTATCTAGCCTAATAAGGACCAACACTTCTTTTTGTTTTAGTCACATCAAATCAGAATGACGACTTTGAAGAGGTCGATAGAGGATTACCTCTTTTGACTTTGTAATTATATAAAAAATACTAATGGTCATGGAATTAATAACTGAGCTGACATGAAAGCAAAGACACAAACAACACACAAAATGATTGCAAAGAGAAACAAAATGGCTGAAAAAGAAACAAAATTACCTCAAAAAGACACACAATGACTACAAAGATACACAAAATGACCAGGAAGAGACACAAAATAGCTGAAAAAGAAACAAAATTATATCAGAAAGAATGACCAAAAAGACAAAAAAATGACCTGAAAAAGACACAAAATTACCTCAAAAAGACACATGATAAATACAAAGAGACACAAAATGTCCGAAAAAGAAAAAACTTATCTCAAAAAGACACACAATGACTACAAAAGACACAAATTTACTACAAAGAGAGACAAAATGACCGAAAAAGACACAAAACTACCTCAAAAAGACATACAATGACTATAAAGACACACAAAATGACTACAACGAGACACAAAATGGCTGAAAAAGAAACAGAATTACCTCAAAGAGACACAATGACTACAAAAAGACACAAAATAACAGAAAAAGACACAATGACTACAAAGAGACATAAAATGACCAAAAGAGACACAATGACAGAAAAAGACACAATATTACCTCAAGGAGACACAAAATGACCAAAAAAAAGACACAAAATGGCTGAAAAAGAAACAAAAATTACCTCAAAGAGACACAATGACTAGAAAAAGACACAAAATGACCGAAAAGACACAAAATTACTACAAAGAGACACAAATGGCTGTAAAAGACACAATGACTACAGAGATACAAAATGACCAAAAGAGACACAAAATGACCACAGACAGAAAAACCTAAAAAAGACCCAAAATTACCTCAAAGAGACACAATATGACTACAAAGAGACACAAAATGACCAAAAATACACAAAAATAACATCAAAAGACACAAAATCACTTTAAAAACACCCAAAATGATCTCAAAGAGACACAAAATAACCAAAAAAGACACAGGAAGTACTTTCAAAAAGACCAAAAATGACCAACAAAAAGACACAAAATAACTATAAAGAAACGAAAAATGACCACAGACACAAAACACTAAAAAGATGCATAATGGCAACAAAGAGATTCAAAACACCAACAAAAAAAGATGCGAAGTCTGTTTATATTGCTCTGTGTAGGAGAGGTAGTGGGGCCTTCTACAAATCAGTGCCCATAGGTACATTATCTCTTAATCAGCCCGTGCTGATAATAATAGTAATATAGAAAATATAAGTTTGCCGTCTGCTGGGAGAGAACCCTGTGTGTGTTGATTTAGGAGTGTACGTGGAGACCATGAAGGCAGCACACACGCGCACACACGCCCCCTCCTTCCCCTGCTGAAGCTCCGCTATCTTTAGCGCTTCACGGATTACAGTGCGCAGTGTGTCACTGGCTGCTCCCGCGTCCACCTGCACGGCTTATCCCTGTGAGTACTTCTCGCTGAAGCACTCTCGTTAAACAACAAACTGACTACAAACCTAAAACAGGAGCGATGGGGGAATGACGATAAAGTCCGTCCGCGTGTCCGGTTCTCCGTCCCCGAGAAGGCCCCGAGGATGCTGCTGCTCCCCAGCCCGCGGAGCGAGCGCTGGCGCCGGGCCTCGCTGCTGCTGCTGCTGCTGCTCGCCGCGGTGCTGCTCTGTGTCGTCCCTGTCGGTGCCAGTCTGCCAGGTAAACACACAACAACACATGTTACAGAACACACAGCCAGACACACTAATTACCCGCGCTAGTGTAAGCTCATGTTGTCTGTGTCAATAATAACACTGACTGGGGCATCTTTAACCAAGGAGCTCGTGACAATTATAGAGGTGCTTTTTACCTGAAGACC